CACTGTTTGCTGCACTGCTAAGTGGATTTGTATGACACTAGGAGAAGGGAGCTAAAACCGAGCCCTTCTTGCTTAGACAAAAGGAAAAAGCTGAGCCATTTTGCATGCCTGTTATTGGGGGGGGGGGGTCTTCAGGTATGGTGTGTTTTAGAGCAGACGTGGGAAGTTTGCAGGCGTGACCTCTATTTTCTCCCCATGAAGAGGCTGTGGCAAGTTTGCTTTCTCTCTCTTGCAGAGTGTGTTCCGAAGATGCTCCCCCTCGGTCGCTGGGCCCTGTTCCTTCCACTCCTCCTGCTTTGGGCTGCTGCCCCCTCCTTTGGGTTTTTCAGCTGGTTCACTCGGACTGCGACCCCAGCGCCCGCTCCAGACCGCACACCTCCTCCCGATCCTGGAAATCTGGGGCCTGTCCCTTTTGAGATGACCACGGCAGATGAGGGGTTCCTGGCCGAAGCCCAGCGGTGGCAACTCTCCCCCCTGGACGCCTGTCACCATAAGGTTTGCTTGTGCCTTAGCGTAGTGGGCTAGGGGTCTTGCCCCCAGGGCAACGCTAAAATAAAGTTGTTTGGGGGTTTCCAGCATCCTGCTTTCTATCGATTTGAGGCAACTTTAGAATAGGTGGAGGTGGTCTTTCCCAGTTCCCAAGTATTTTACCAGGTAGAAGATTACAAGTCAAAAACTGCAGCAAAATGGTGCAGTGTCATCTTGATTCCCTGGGGCAGTAAAGAAACAAACTGTGCTGCTTATATATTGCCCCATAGTGCTTAAAGCACGCTGTGGGCCGTTTGCAATTTAATTATGCAGGCTATGCTTGGCCTCTCACCCCCCAGCAAGCTGGGTACTCCATTGACAGACCTCAGAAAGATGGAAAGCTGAGTCGACATTGACTCGGCTACTTAAGCCCATCGGGACTTAATAACTTGAGTCCCATCATGCTTAGTGAGGCAGGTCCCCATGACTGTGGGGCTCCTTCATTACTGGGGCTGCCTGGTAGCCCTGATGCTAAGTGAGCCCCCCACCTTTGCACTGCTATATGATAGATGGACAGCCGTTTCCAAAAATGTTCTCCTTTTTCATGCCAGTGCGTGGTCCTCTCAAAGAAGCCTGGGATAAATAATGGCCTTTATAACATCTGTAGCTAATTATCCAGGCATGAAAGGCATTAAGAAAAAGATACAAGGTGCTTCAGATTTAAAGTCTGCCTTTTAAAAATCCCCTTTTGCTCCCAGATGTCTTGTCGGCAGTGAAGGAATCGCTCTCCCCCACCCCTCCGGTTCTTCTCCTTTCTTCTTGACCTTGTTGCTAGGTGATCGCCCAGCTCCGGTCATCTTGCACGGACCTTACAGAGGAAGAGCTGGCCAAACTTGGGGTGTCCCTCTTCAACTGCCAGGCCAGCGTGGAGGGTCGGAGGACTTACCTGTGCTCTGCGGATATGGTAAGTCAGGAGGTTTGGGGATCTACCCGTAAGGAGGGATCTGAGCCTAAAGATCTACAGCCACTTCTCAATTTTGATGGAGGGGACAACCTGCGAAAGTAAAACTGTGCCCCCCCTCAAGAATTTTGCAATCTCAGATGCCCTTCTCCCCCCCGGTCAATCACGGTCCCCCCGCACCTTTCCTTCCAACAGACCCTGGCTGAATGCACGGCGGAGATGGATCCTGATACTTGGAACGCCTACCACATCGTGAGCAACCGAGCGCGCGCCGTCTGCTACGCCACCCGCCAGATGCAGTTCAAACGCCGGGCTGAACACACCGTCAACGCGCTGGTCTCTACGGCGGTTGGCCAGCTGGAGGCTATGAAGGCGCTGAAGGTCTGTCTGTGGCACAGCTGCACTGTTCCCTCAGCTTCCGCCATGGGGGGGGGTTCATCAATAGCCAGAGGTGGCCCCCATGAGTCTGTGAAACCCAGGTTGGTGGTATTCTTGGGAGTGCCAAACCTGCGTCAGGGAAACAGCCCATGTTGCCCGTGGTACATGGCCCCCGATAAAGTGCTTTTTGTATTCCTGAGCGTGTGCCTAAGAATGCAAAAGGGACCATTTTATTTGGTGGCCAACGTGATGCTGTGGCTGAGACCGTCTCACCTTATGCAGGCATAAATCAGCGATTGGATTGTAGCTGGTATGTTTTACTCTCCCCACCGCCGGAGGGTGGCTCACATCCTGGCTGAAGAGGTGAGGGCCACGAACAGGACAGGGAGCAGATTAGAAGCGGCTGTAAAAAGAGAAGGAACAAAATGCATTCCGTCTGACAGAAGGTTCAAAGTAAATGAATAATATTGGAAATTGCGAACGTCTGTGCCTGGTGCTTGAAAGGCATCGGAGTAGGCGCTTTTTCAGGGAAAGGAACACCAACCCAGAAGCGTCACCTGAAAGGGAGGAGCAGGAGAGAGATCCCACAGGGGTTGGAGGGGAAAAAAGGCAAGCCTCCAGCCCCCCCCCATGAGAGGCATTGACGATGTTAATTTGATCCAGCGAAATTGCTGTAGAGCGAAAACATTGTCAAACAAAATGAAACAACCCAATGAAACGCATTGAAAACCGTTCAATGCGTTCCAATGGGCTGAATACCTGCTCCTCCAGTGAAGATCCTCCATACGGCGGCCAGTTTCGGTGCCTGTAAAACGAGGAATCTGTCGTAGAAAACAGTGGGGCGCCATTTTCTTCAGCTGGTGGCCATTTTGAAACCCGACGATCAGCTGTTTGCTGATCGTTGTAAAGCGAAAATCGGTTCCCGAAGCAGGGAACCGGTCATCGCTAAGCGAAATTCCCCCATTTAAACCATCATTTTCCAATTGCAAAAACATCAACGTAATGCAGATTAGTCGTACAGCAGGGTAATTGTCCAGCGGGGCACAACTGTACATGAAAAGAGGGAGATGACTGGTGGCAAAACATCTGTTTTGCAGAACTTGGGAAGTTACTTCTCTAAACTACCATCTCCAGACCCCTCCGCCTAACGATGGCTGGCTGGAGGACTCTGGCGGTGTCTGTCAAGGGATCAGTTAGAGACTGTTGAGCCGATTTCAATTCATGACAACTCCTTCCGGAGTATTCTCTGGACTCAAAAGAGTACACAGTGGACTCAGAGATGGTTTATCCTTCCCCTTCATCTGGTGGCACCCTGGGACTGAACAGCTCGCCCAAGGCTACACAGGCTTTCTCCTCTCCCGGGAGGCTCAGCGGGGAGTCGAACTGCTGACCACTGGGCTCCACAGCCAGAGACCTGACTCACAGAAATACGTACCCCATGGAAAGGAGATTTCAAACTCTGCTACATGGCATGCACAAGGTCCCAGGTTCAAACAGAACTTGAGCAGCAGAGCTATGCAGATTTAATGGATGGAGCTCTGCAAAGCAGAATGAGCTTGAGTCTTCAGAGTCACGAGCAGGAAGCATCAAGTGCAGCTCCTACCCCAGTGGCATCCCTGAGACTTCCCCCCCCACACACTTTACATGATTTTAATGGCAGGTTCTAGTCCCTACTGAGCTAGCAAGGCCTTTGTGTGGCCTTCAGGCCTTGATTCATTTATTATTTAAAATATTTTTACCCTTTCTCCTTCAAAAGGGACCGAGGCGGCTGACAGGAACAGGTAATATTTGAAGCCTATACAAATGTGGCTTACATCATCACTACATTTAAAGGTAAAAACAAGGGGTATACAAATCTTAGAAAGGAACAAACCAGTACCACTCTGAAAAATGGTAAACA